CTTTTGCAGTTTTCTAAAGGACTTAAAAACTTCTTCCAAAAAATAAAAAACCTAAAAGCAAAGCAAAAATCCCTACTTTTTCCTCCAAAGAATCTCTTTATTGTCATAAATATAAACAAATAGTTGAGTTTTATTTGTTTATTTAAATACCAAGAGAATTTGGGGATTATCTTAGTGCAACCTAAAGGTTGTGATAATAAAAATCCTCATCTAGTTATAGAAAATTCAATTGGGATATATGATATTTCATCTCCAGAATGTGCCCCTACCCCATGAGTATTAAGCAGATGTCTCCAGGTGCAGGATGCTGGCTCCAAGGTGCCTTCCTCCCGTATCCTGAAAAGTTTCCTCTGCAGCAGGCTGAAGGAGCTCTTTCACGGAGAGAGCTTCCTAATATCTATGAAAGCAGTAGTCCCCAGACTTGTACATTTTACATACCAGTAAAATAAAAATAAGAGAAAGGATCTATATAGGATTGCCAACTCAAACAACTGTTATCACTATCATTTTATGAAAAAAGGACATTTTGACCCCCAAAATTAGGAAAGACATACTCTCAGAGTAAAGGACAATTCTTTAAGTTAAATAACTTTATGAAAAACTCCCTACTCTGTCCATATATTTTTTAATTGCTATTTGGGAACTGTGGCCTAAGCACTTCTAAGGCAAGGTCAAAGAAAACCAAATATAATTTGGGGGCCTTCTAATTTTAAGCTAGAATGAACTTGTACACTGCCAACAAACTGATTTGAGGAAATTCTGTGTGAATTAGGGATTATTTTGTAAATATAATTTTATTACTTCTGTAATCATTAAAGAATGGCTGGATATAAAGGAACAAGCACCATGTGATATTTTCTTCTCTATGTTTCTAGACTATACTCTGATCCTTTAGTCTAGTTTTTCTTTTTTTTTTTTTTTTTTGACGGAGTCTCACTCTGTTGCCCAGGCTAGAGTGCCATGGCGCCAGTCTAGCTCACAGCAACCTCAGACTCCTGGGCTCAAGCAATCCTACTGCCTCAGCCTCTCGAGTAGCTGGGATTACAGGCATGCGCCACCATGCCCGGCTAATTTTTTTCTATATATTTTTAGTTGTCCAATTAATTTCTTTCTAATTTTAGTCGGGACGGAGTCTCGCTCTTGCTCAGGCTGGTCTCGAACTCCTGAGCTCAAACAATCCGCCCGCCTCGGCCTCCCAGAGTGCTAGGATTACAGGCGTGAGCCACCGCGCCCGGCCTAATCTAGTTTTTAATTGTATGCTGATGTGAGGTTTTTTCGTATTCTGTATTGTAAGTACATCCTCTCTCTTCCTAATTAGAGGAAGAGACAGAGGCAAAATTCCTTGAGTGTAAGCCCCATGCCTTCTCTTGCCCTTTGTCATAAGAGATAAAGCACAGTGGGCGATGTAAATTCATGTTAGGCCACAGAAGGGCAGATCTGTCTTTAGGTTATACTTGCATCATTCCTTGCCAATGGAAATGTACAATATAAGGTTTTTAGTATTCTTTTTTGTAAATAGCTGAACCTCCTTCAGATGTTGACATTATTCATTTTTTTATAACTCTATTTTTCATGGATATCACAAGTGTTAACTTCAGCTCAGCTGTTAACCAAATGATCTAAAATAATAGATTAAAAAATTATAAGTTGATAAGATTTTGCTCCAGTGTCTCCACACCAGGTAGTTACTCATAGCTTGTGAGAGATGGGTTGCTCTTAGGTGTGGGTGTGGGTGAGTCCAACGGGATAAGGACACAATTCTTGACCCTTTCTTCTTTCCTCCCCTCTATAAGCAGTACATACCCTTGTGGTGTCTACAGAGCCTCCAGAAAACAATATGGGTTGCTATCCAGGATTGTTCAAGAATTACACAGCAACCAATTATGTTTAGTTTTATAGTATTAACAAATTTAGATCTTTGTTGGTTTTGGTCCAAAAATGGGAATTATTTCAACCATATTTTATCATTTTATGGTTAGAATTCCTAAGCATTACAGTTTTGGATTTATCTAAAATTATCCTAAATTGAGATTCATATTTTAGCTATTTAAAGTTAGTATTGTTTTTAGAAAGCATAGTTATAGATGACATTTGGAGATGCTAAACAGTTTTGAGTTAAGATTCCCCATATAATGTTTGTATTGCAGTTTCAGAATGAGCATAGGTTGGAAGACTTGTATTTGAATTCTGGTTGTGTCATTACAAACTGCTGTGTCAGGCAAATCACTAAAGTTCACTGAGCCTGTTTCCTCATCTTTAAGATGGGCATAATATATACTCCATAGCCATTTGAGAATTAAACAAGATAATATTACATATGAAAGCATTCTATGAACTATGAAATGACACACAAGCGTATGGTATTACATGCCTTCAGCAATAAGCAAGTAATCCATCTCTGAAATCTCTCTCTCTCTCTCTCTCTCTCTCTCTCTCTTTCATGGATGCTTTTACATTCCTTAGAAATGCAATGAAGAGTCTCATTTATTAGGCCAGCTTCTATTCATAGCCACAGCCACACTAGTAAAGGGTTCAGTTAGAACTTGCCATCATAAATACTATGTGAATAAATCCCAAACATGTTAGACCAGAATCACCCATTTATATGTATAAAATGCACGATATAATGAAGGGTCCATAGGTGATTATTAGGTCCCGTTCACATTATGATTTACAGAAGGGGTTTGAACTGGCTTTGTAAAATCAGCAGAAAATTGATATTGTTTTGGTTTTGGTTCAAAAAGATCTTAATTGTCATCATGGTTAGATTTAAAGATTTTGCAATTCTTATATATACTTTGGGAGATGCTACAGTATATACTCAGAAGAACTCAGGATTATAATACAGAAACTTGGGTTTCTGTGTGTGAATCTAGTAACCTTTTCCACCCTTAGACAATGCATATGATTAGGGGTAGGTAGGTTGGTCACTTCACTCTTAATTTTTTAATGAAATGAGCATTGATTTCATTACTTCTGGTTCCTTTGACTGCTCCTGATTCCAAACATAGCCAACCACATCTCCAAGAGGATGCTGACAGTTCTGTACTAGCCTAGTGCCTCTGACCCCTACCTACCCTCCCGGGTGCATGAGACCATTCCAGGGTAAGCAGGTAGTTACCACCGCTTCTATCTTGAAAGATGTGAAATGAAACATGTAATAGATTTTAAAATAATAAATTTTCTCCTTTCCCAGGATCTAATTTAGACATTAAGATTACTAGGTAATACTGAGGAGCAATGAAATGACCAAAGAAAAAGGAGTAATATACCAATATGAGCACAACCATAATTCTTCCACCTTGACCCTCATAACCCCTCCCCCCCAAAAAGCCCCTTTCTTAAATTCCTTACATGCACCCAAATGGCATATACCTTAGTTGGACTGCCTGAGTTCTAATCCTGGCTCCCCCACCTTCTGTCTTATGACTTTGGACAAATTAACTATCTTCTGCATGTCTATTTCCTCATGTATAAAATAAGCATGACGACATTAGCACCCATCTCATAGGGTGGTTGTGGGGATTCAATCAGTTAATATGTGTAAAGCACAAGATAGCTGAAACATAATATGTGCTATTTAAGTATTAGGTAATATTACTATTATTATTGTCCTTCTAACGCTTAATTGACTAATGTATTTGGAGTCATTGAATGTATCCCACTTCCAGGGTAAAAAGTTTAATTTTTCTGGCTCCAATAACTTCAAATTTCATTTAGTAAAAACCTTCCCAGAATGTTTTTTGAAACATTCCACGTGTGCCGGGAAAATCCATTAAATCCTCTGAAGTGATTCACATCTGCTACTATTAGCATAAAAGAAATTATGCAATTAAGATAGAATGCAAGAGTATTTTTCATTCAGACACAACAGTGACATTAATTCATGGCAATCTTATTTGTATTGTTGAGCAAGTTATTACAAACATGAACATTTCAGACATTAGTCTCTTAAATAAAAAACAACTTCACAAATTTTTCCAGGAAGGGTAACTGCGTCACAGCCTATGCAGCCAATGAATGAAAAGGGAGGAAAAGGATTTCATGAGTATTATGTAATTTAAGACCATAAACACATTACTAACCCATTTTCCATAAAGAAGCTATCTTTCTGAATAAGTTATAAGATGTAGGGTGAATGATAAAAGTCTATGGTATCTCACTAATCCTTTGTTATTTTTTGATGCCTCTTTTTCTTAAAATATTAAGTGTCATGCAGGGTTCATTTTTTATTAGCTGATTTATCTTACTTTCATTTAATGATAAAGTCACTAGTTACTAAGGTGTCTTGAACAGTTTACAGACTCCACCCCAAATGACTCATCTAGACAGTTTTGTTTTAAATGACTTTTTTTTTTAATGGTTTTTCTGTCTTCTGTTGATTTATGAGCTATCACTTTGTATCGCAGTCCTCTCTGCCTCCAGTGGCATTTCTGATTGGCTGCCTCTGACCTGGTGAGAAGCTGGGTAATCAAACTTATTAAAAGTGTGTTTTTAAAAAAAGTTATAGGTGAAAACTTCAGTGTCTTTCCTTTTGTGCTCTAGTGCCCAGCAACTCAAAGAGGGGTCTGTAGATCAGCAACACGGGCATTACAGTTGTTAGAAATGCAGAATCTTGGGCCTCCCTCTAGACCTACTTAATCAGAATCTATATATTAACAAGATTCCCAGGTGACTTGTGTGCACATTAAAATTTGAGAAACCCCACTTTAGCTCATCACCTTTGTGACAGTTAATTTTCCTATTGAGAGATGCTTTTTCAAAAGGTGAAAGATTTATACAATCTGAAGAGAAACCAGAGTAGAGACACTTTCTTAGCTTACAAATTGCATCTTGCTGTGTTCTATGTTATATAGTGTGCCAAGATATTTAACCTTTAGAAATGCAGGATATTATTATAATATCTAGAAGTGTTTTAATGTTTGATAATAGGTACTTGATGAATATTTTATTTTCTCTCCCCTAGGATATTCCTGGTGATCTTGGAACGAGTCCATATCATGGAATCGATCTCTATGATGGGAAGCCCTAAGAGCCTTTGTGAAACTTTTTTGCCCAATGGCATAAATGGTATCAAAGATGCAAGGAAGGTCACTGTAGGTGTAATTGGAAGTGGGGATTTTGCAAAATCCTTAACCATTCGACTTATTAGATGTGGCTATCATGTAGTCATAGGAAGTAGAAATCCTAAATTTGCTTCTGAATTTTTTCCTCATGTGGTAGATGTCACCCACCATGAAGATGCTCTAACAAAAACGAATATAATATTTGTTGCTATACATAGAGAACATTACACCTCCCTGTGGGACCTGAGACATCTGCTAGTGGGTAAAATCCTGATCGATGTGAGCAATAACATGAGGGTAAACCAATACCCAGAATCCAATGCTGAATATTTGGCTTCATTATTCCCGGATTCCTTGGTTGTCAAAGGATTTAATGTTATCTCAGCTTGGGCACTTCAGTTAGGACCTAAGGATGCCAGCCGGCAGGTATGTATTTTAAAATTTTATTCTTATTTATCTGGTATTTTGTAGTTAAACAGCTAAGCAAATATCAGATATTTAAAAACCAAATTCTGAAATTTTCCAGCGATCATCATTTTGAAAACTGTGTATGAGCACCTGAAGATTAATGTTGTGACCTTGTGAGGGTACACTTCTATTCCCAAAATGATGTGGAAAGCTGGGGAAATAACCTGGACTTTTCTGTCAAAACCAGTTAATTAAAGAAAAGGCTAAGTTGGCTAATGAATAATGTGACATATTGCATTGAGTCTCTCCTGGCTTCCTCACAATAGGAAACAATGACAAATGAGTCATTTATTTTCCCTCTTTCCCTTTCTTCCTTCTTCCCTTCTTTCCTTCCTTGCAGCTGTTTGGTAACGCAGTCTTCCATCTCTGAATAAAACATTGTTTAATATGATCCTCAGAAGAATGCTTTAGAAGGACCTTTTGACTTGACATAGATTAAATATTCATAGACTTTAAAACCATACAGTTTGTTTTAAGTGTAGATTTTAATCTCTGTGCGGAAAGTAGTGGCAGACATGATTTCTTAGGTTCTCCTTTGGCATATGAGTTTATGGGTAATATTTTATCTAGTTAAATTGGAGAAGAAAGCAGAGGGGAGCTTTGTCAATGCTTCTGTGGAATGAGAGTTTTTATTAGTAAACACATAAACTAGTACACCTTAAAAATCTTTTAGAAGTGTGCTTCTGCATTATACTTAAGCATGAAGATCAAATACTTCAGTTATTTTCATTGATAAAGAGAGTTGATTAGGACGAGTGCAGTTGCTCATGCCTGTAATCCCAGCACTTTGGGAGGCTGAGGCAGGAGGATCACTTGAGGCCAGAAGTTCAAGATCAGCTGGGCAACTTGGCAAGAACCTGTCCCTAAAGATAAAAACAAAAAATTAGCCAGTTGTGGTGGCATGTGCCTTTAGTCCCAGCTACTTGGGAGGCTGAGGCAGGAGGATCACTTGAGCCCAGGAGTGAAGCTACAGTGAACTGTGATTGCACCTCTGCACTCCAGCCTTGGTGACAGAGCAAGACCCTGTCTCTAAAAAAAAAAAAAAAAGACAGTTGATTAGATTCCTTAGAAAATAAATTTAAGTATTATATCATTGTATGCTGCATATCAGAGTCATGATAACGATTCACTTTCAAGTCTTTAATTTAAAGACTAGTAAAAGAATATATACTTTCCTACAGGATACTTCTGAATTCTTTTTTGCATATCCACCAAAGCTTAGCAATGGATATAGACCAAAGCAAACTAGAGCCAGGACCTATGAGACAAACCTGAATTTAATCCTTTACCCACATTTGTGACAATTTTAATTTTTTAACAGAAAAAAATTTTAGAACAGTGATTAAATTCAAAATGAGATACAGAAATAGTTTCATTTGTATTTCAGAGTGCTTGTGCCCTTATTTTGAATGTTTGAGCTATACTTTTAGGTTTGTTAGAAAATTTTATAACTTAATAGAAATTTTTTCCAAAGGAATACAAAACAAGTTTACTCCACCATTGTCACAACTGTAATAAATAATTTAGAATTCTTTTCCTTATTTTTTTGGTATAAAAGGACCCCTATTTTATAAGTTCATGAATGTTTGCATAATAGTATAGGATTTGTCATTCGTCTGGCTAATCTTATCTAAGATTGATAATCTAAAGAGCTCTATATTGTCACCATTATGTAAATAGGTTTAGCATGCAAATATTTCAGTGTGGTCTATTTCAGAGCCCTTATACAAACACCTTCAGGGATATATTTAGGAACTTGTTTTCCCCAAACATTGTGTGGAGACTTTATAGCAATATTTTTCTAGCCCTTGTTAGTAACAATAGCTCACTCCAGCAATAAATTTGGTGCTCAATAAATACTTGTTGAATTTTCAACTATATGGTTTTGGTAGTTTCCAAGACCACCTTAACCCACACCCATCACATCATTAGATTTCCTAGAAAAGTAATATCTTAGTCTTAGAAAATGACAGTTGCTTTTCTATTTAAATTAACTTATAAGCCTTATAATGTCATTTTTTTACTTGCCAGATATATCATCATTTAAAAATGAAAGGATTTCATACATTGACCAATGAAATAATATACCTGAGATTATCCATGGGTTTTCAGAGATACTTAGTGTATTAGTTTCTGAGCCTAAAGATTTTTATGAATAGTACAGCATCATGACATACTTTAGAGGTTTTGAATTGCAAATGCCACCATCCTCGCTCTTGCTGAATAACTGTAAACAGCAGTGCTTGCAATCACACTACTGGGCAGAATCACTACAGTCCTAGAACTAAGTATTGTCCATGAAGGCAGGGAGAGCCAGTCCCATCCTGCCCCCTGTGGAAGTTAGAGAGCTGAAAGGAGGCAGGGGCATGGCCAGCAGCTCAAACTCCACTTGGACCCGTGGAGCGGAGACTTACCTGTTTGCTGCTACTGAACCACGTGGCCACCTTTCTTTCCACCTGCCTCCCTTTCCCTGAGGACTCCACTCCGAGAATCCCAGGTTGAAGCTAGATTTTCCTGTATTTTACTTTCATGTTATCACAGGTGACAAGGACTTTTTTGTTTTTATGACACTATTTTAAAATCTATTAATAATAGGTTAATAAATTAATAAATGCTTTATCTCCTTAACTCTAGTCATTTGCATCACTCAAGGCCATCACAAGCGATGCTCCATAGATTAAATGGAGCATGCGATTGTTACACAATTTTTATAAACAACAGTAGTAATGATGAGTCTTTTTCTTTTCTCCACAGGTTTATATATGCAGCAACAATATTCAAGCTCGACAACAGGTTATTGAACTTGCCCGTCAGTTGAATTTCATTCCCATTGACTTGGGATCCTTATCATCAGCCAGGGATATTGAAAATTTACCCCTACGATTATTTACTCTCTGGAGAGGGCCAGTAGTAGTAGCCATAAGCTTGGCCACGTTTTTCTTCCTTTATTCCTTTGTCAGGGATGTGATACATCCCTATGCAAGAAACCAGCAGAGTGACTTTTACAAGATTCCTATTGAAATTGTGAACAAAACCTTGCCTATAGTTGCTATTACTTTGCTGTCCCTGGTGTACCTAGCAGGTCTCCTGGCAGCTGCTTATCAGCTTTATTACGGCACCAAGTATAGGAGATTTCCACCTTGGTTGGAGACCTGGTTACAGTGTAGAAAACAGCTCGGATTACTAAGTTTTTTCTTCGCTGTGGTCCATGTTGCCTACAGCCTCTGCTTACCAATGAGGAGGTCAGAGAGATACTTGTTTCTCAACATGGCTTATCAGCAGGTACTGAACGCGGGCTTCTTATTTATCTGACTCTAGTAGAATATTTTATTGGTATACATTGTAAAACATAAAATTTTACATACCTCATAATGGAAATTTACTTTTGGTATTTTAGGGAAGGGGAAGTATTATTCTATAAACAATGTTTTTGCATAAGAATTGTGTGGATGATTCAAAATTATTTAGGGTAAAAACTGCTATCATCCCCTTCTTTGCAGAATAAAAGCAGGGAAGTGGAGGGTTGGAGTTTTTCTCCCCCCTTTTTTAATGTTAGAATTGCAATGATTGCTTTCAGCATTGAAGAATTAATTATTTTAATGTTTTATAATTGGACATGCTCCAAAAGATGATGAGGCAACTTTCAGTAAATATATACAGTAGGTCAGAGCATGGTGGCTCATGCCTGTAATCCCAGCACTTTGGGAGGCTGAGGTGGGAGGATCAGTTGAGGGTAGGAGTTTGAGATCAGCCTGAGCAACATAGTGAGATCCTCTCTCTACAAAAAAATTTTTTATAAAAATTAGCCAGGTGTGGTGGTGTGCACCTGCAGTCCTAGCTACTCAAGAGGCTGAGGCAGGAGGATCACTTGAGCCCAGGAGTTTGAGTTTGATTGCACCACTGCACTCTAGCCTAGGTGACAAAGTGAGACTCTGACTCTTAAAAAAAAAAAAAAATATATATATATATATATACACACACACACACACATAATAAAATTAGAGCCAGTGAAAATATGAAACAAAACAGGAAGTCAAGATCAGGAAAAAAAGTAGAATACACCTCTGCTGGCTGAGAATGTCTACATTGCTGCTTCTTTGGCTTTGAGATTTCTGATACAATGAGAAAGGAGACACTGTTACAAGGCTCTTGCTATCAAAAAGCAAAAAAGATTCTATATCCTCAGGTGAAGCTTTTCTACTACTTAGCACTTCACAAAAAATCTCAGAAAGAGTTTCATGCAAGGGGGTTGATGATGAGATAGACTATGATTTTCCTCGATAATTTCCATTCTGCAAACGTAATATAAGGGGTTTCACTGAAGCTGTTTGGTGTAGCATTTCTCAATGAAAGCCAAGGACATTGCACCAAAACAAATGTGTAAAAGCATTTGCATTTTATAAGGAGCCAAGGCATTGTGGTCCAAGTATGTAGCATCTAGTACTTAAGCTTGTTTCAACAATAAAACCGCAAATAATTTTTAAGAAATTAATAGTTTGATGTCCTTTAAGCCATTTGCTTTCTAAAAATACTACTCCTCCTAACTGGACAGAAAGGCTTTTGTAGTTGGCCAAACCAGCTCCCCCACCTCCTTACAATCATTTGCTCAGATCTCACCTTTCAAGTGAGGCCTATGTTGGACACCATTTTTTTTTTTTTTTTTTTT